AGTATAAAATAAGTGCAGTGATGTGTTACACATGTGTTTTATTGCAAAATTTATTGAGGTGCAAAAGGATTAAAAACTTTTATGAAAAAGGAAGTTCGGCACGTGTTTAGTGGAATGAAGTGAAAAGACGACGTTCGAGTATAGGTAAATGGAAAATACACAGTAAAAAGAAAGAGCTCAACAGACTTAGAATGAGAAAATCTTGAAGGAGGTAAACAGCGTAAATAGTAAGTTAAAAGAGGAAGATAGAGAGTACGTGAGAACGAGTTTTTTGATAATTTTAAGAAACGTGCTGTGTATAGTAAAAGTAGTAGAAAGAGCAGTTGGTACCCTTGGTAATAAAAACGTTGTACGCGACTTAGAGAACAACATACAACAATCCTGCCTTTCGGGCACTCATTTTTGAAGTTTTTGCCGTAGCAACCTACGTATACCGCTTAAAACAATTAACCAAAAGTATGGGAACATGAAAAAAATCGTTAAGAAAGGCCTTAAGGCTGCTCTTAAGCACTCGAAAATAGCATCAATAATAAAATAAGACATTTTTTATAAAGAAGTACACAACAGTGAATTCTGGAAGGAGTGTCAAATTCTTAAAAATTAGGAAACAGAGAAGAGACACTTTTGGTTAGCATGTTAAAAAAAATTCAAACAGAGCTCTCCTCAAAAAAATAGAATGAGTTAAAGAAAACAAGAGTCCATCGAACAGCCCCGAGAATAGTCAAAGAACTGTATCTTCTTAGAGAAAGAAAAAAAGCGATGGCAAGTATAAAGATAACTTTTCAAGTATTCAGAAATTTCAAAATAAATTTTTCAACACGATGGCTAATGTTTTTGTGAAGCGAGGTAAAGGGAAATCACTTGCTGGGGGTTTAAAACAATGACGGATCGTTTTAACCCAGATGAGGCAGAAGCTGTTGTGGAGAGTGTTGTTGCCACCAAAGAAGGAGACTAGATTTGAGAAGCTAGAGGTGTAAAACTACCACTGAATTTTACAGATTTCAAAGAGTCAGTAGTTGGCCAAAAAAATTCAGTTACTACTATTTACTGTATGAAAAACGATGCTCGAAGTCTAAGACCTATACGTTATTGTTCCAGAAAACGAAATTAAGGAGTCATTTTCTAAAAATATCAGTGATCATAATCAGAAATTGATGGTTCAACTCTTACGATGGAATACTCAAGGACAAAGAGTGGCGTTGGTACGACTAGACAAAAAGGAGCTAAAATAGTAGAGCACGGTAGCAAGATTCAAGATGGATGTGTCTTCTGCCGTATTAGAATAAGTCTAATACTGACAAGTTGTTTCTGATGCCTAGTTGATTATACTTCTAGACAAGTTGATGACTCCAATATAGACATATCTCTTTAGAATGTAAAAAGTGAATGGAATGAAGCTGTGCCTTCGTTGTGACTGCTGCAACTACCAGAAGAAGGATTATTTGACCCAAGCATGGTGTTGTCTTTCAAAGATAATATAAATTACGAGGCTGGCAGTAAAAGCTGTCCTATATTAAGAAGAGCACTGAAATGGGTCAGAGCAAAAAAGCTTGAGTAAGGTGTAATTAAAGAGGTAAGGCTTTTAAAAGAAAAAAGAGCTTAACGCAAATCCATGTTACACTGAGTACATTTACTTGTCAGCTAGGGAGAGCCTTAAGCATATAGTGGCATCTGGAAAAAATGCAGCCTAAGAATGAGCACTAGATACATGTGTGAACTTCTTAGAGACTTTAAGTCCAGTGATCAAAAGGATTAGTCTTTCTAGCAACTGATGAAGAGCTTATTCGCTTGTGCTATGAAATGCAATGCTCTCTCTGGTGATTCCACCCTGAAGTTATGCTAATGAAGTTCTGGGATGAGACGAAAGCCACGCAGCAAAAGAGAGTTTAGTCAATATTAGTGGTCTAATAAAAAAAAAACCATGAAGCTTTACACTACGGCTGCCCTTGCACTATATGTCAATGCATGACTCCTCTCTTACAAAAAAAAAAAAAAAAAAATGGAGTTTACCCCTCGAAGCTCATTACGATTGACCAAATGAGACTGTATTTGAGGGCTCCATTCTCTTTATTAACTTTTTTTTTTTCATTCAACCATTTAATGATATTTTCAATCAGATTTACCATTAATTTTCACCAATTCATTATTGAAAACAACTGTATTAAACGTAATCAACAGAGATAGCCATTAAAAGAAGCCATTTATATTTTTACCGTCAACTGGTACTCTACAGCTAAAGATGCCCGAAAATAATAAAATTTTCTAGGGCATTCTATAGTTTTGTTTAGAAACCTGAATTGGGTAACCATAGGCAACTCGTGATCGCCACAGTTTATACAAGTAAATAAAAGAACAAGCGTTCCTTCAGAACTCATCTCAGTCACTAAGGGTCCCGATCAACTAAGGTCTTCTCTCTCCCTGGCATCTCTGGATTTGTCTGTTTGAAGACTACCTTTTCCATGCATAATCACGTGCTCTTATTTATTTGTGTATATCTGCTAATTATCACCAGTGGTGATCCAAGCTAAACCAAAGAAAACTTTGTTAAACTTGTGTGAGCACGGGTAGCTTAGGCTTTTCACAGTCGTCAAATTTTGGCTGACCATGTCAAGACATAAAGTTTTCCCTTACTTCCACTGTAACGAGCAACGCACTTTAGGGATTTAGGGATCAGCTGTAAGGAACTGTACCTTTCTTGCAAGCTGCAGATTGTTTTTATGGAGTTCCTGATAAGTAAAAACATAGTTATATAGAAAGACACAATATAAATAAACAAAGTAAAAGTAATTGCAAAAATAGATGCTTGCGCCTTAAAGGGATTTAGTTTCTCAAAGAAAAAAAAGTTTTGAAATCTTTCTGTACTCCAAGCAAGTGACCCATGCAGTTGTGAGCACTCAAAAAAATATGAAAAATGTACAGTGGGTGGCAAGACTAAGTCGAGGTGACAACATTCATATAAAAAATTTGGTGTCGAATCGAAATAGTGACTATGCTGTGCAGTGGTCAAAAACTTCTTTTTTTTTTAATCAATAAAATAGTGGCTGCCAAATGAAATGACTTTTTTTGAACATTAAAGGTAAGACATAACAAAATAGCATAAAACTGGTCAAAATAAGAAAAAAATTATACTGGATGTAAGCTGCCCTGTAAGGCATTCGTTACAACTAGTAATTGACTCCATCATCGTTTAGCAGGCTACAAGATTTCTCTATTTTTCTAATATCAGCATCTAAAAATGCAAAATAGTAGATTCAATACGAAGGCCAAAAAAATAAAAAAAGTTCACAAAAATAAGTGCTTAGAACAGAGACATTTTAATCTTTTTGATTATTGGACGTAGTAAGGATTAGATTATCAGCCCTATATAAACCAATAACTAAGTAACGGGCTCAAACTACCAAACAATTAAAATGTGAAGTAAGCAGCAGCTTCCTCGAGTAACATTGTAGAAGAATACTCAGTAGTTAGCACTCGGCCATTAAACAAGGCACTACCGACTCTGCATGAGTACTCAAAAAATTTTGGGTGTAGCCCATGAGGAATTTCGTATTCATTATTCCTTGCTTCTTCTCTGTTAATCATTTGCATAAGTTTATGATGAAAATGTTACATCATTATATTATTTAAGTGTCCTTAGATTGTGTAAAAAGCATCCTCCTTCATTAACATACTCAACAATAAGTATAAGAGGATTTTTTTGGAGTACTTCTTACGGATCATTTATCAGAATTTTCGATTGAAAATGAATGATCAAATATGGTGTCTAAAAGAATTAAAAATCTTCATGAGTCTCAAAAAATACGTGTGTATGAAATTTTTGAGTGCTTATATCACAATTAGAAAATTTTAAATAGTAAAATCAATGAGGCAGCTAAAAAATTCAGAGCTAACGGAAAATTCTAAAGATAATAGTAGTTTGAAACTTCTCGCTAGGATTTTGCAAAAACCATGACACTCAAGAATTTTATTCACCCATGTTAATTGCAGCACTCTCAACGTATGGATAAACATGTTTGTCTTATTTTATAGCATCAAAGCGGCTCCTAGTTAATACATAGAACGTTTTAATCAAGTGGTAAAATATTTCAAGTTATAGAACCTATTTTAGATAAGTCCCTAGAAATACGAAAACAATTTTCCTGTAGTACATGATATTACCAGTAAAATGAGCCCTATATTGTAGGTATACATATCGTAGGTATACTATATCGTACGCATTATCAATTAAAACATTATTTTTGTACACAAATTCTATGAGACAAATAACTACGGCTTTGTGGTAAATGAAACACTCTTGTTTAATTCTGATTTAAAAAAACAAAACCTAACAAACTTCGCATTATACAGTTACAAATTTATTGTAATCTTTCATTAAATAAAAATTTTAAGGATCTTATAAAAATTATTTTTCTATCACTTTTAAACATATCTTTCTTGACTTTTGTTTATACAGTTCTGTGCTCAAATTCAATAATTTTTACAGTTAAATGCTCTGTTGCAGAGCAATGTACAGCCAAATTGTACTGTGCTTATTTAGTAAAGTCAATTTAAGTATTTATACAAAGTCATTACTTAGTAGGTATAGAAATAAGAATTAAATTCAGGAAAAATAAGCAATGATTTTAACGTTGGAAAAATTCTTTGCTTACATTTTGAAGATTAGTGTTCCCAGAATTTGTAACTATAGTGAAAGCACAAATTTAAGAATGAAATGGTCAGCAATTAGAATCTTGTACGGTTTACTTAAATAAATAAATGTTACACAAATCACTAAAATTTTTAACTCTAAGGAAATCTATATTAGCTCTTACAATTCAAGACTCAATACATAATAAAAGGCTATAAAAAATAACACTTTTACCAAAGTGCATGATCATTTTTTGTTCAGTTTTCATACATTTATTACATCTATATGCAATTATCATTGTTTATCTGTAAAACTTAATGGTGACCACCATGCTGAAATTAAATTCTAAATTTAAAAATTTATTTAATTTCAGAATAGTTTGAATGAAGCAGTTGAGAATAAAAAAAATTCCTCAACCATCAAGCTCAAACCTAACACAGTGACACAGTTATTTTCTATAAACAATACGACCAGAGATAAGTTACTACAGTTACAATCCTTAAATGCTTCTATTTCAAAAAATATATCTGAAGACTATACAAAAGACAGTAATATAATAACAAGCTCTTTGCCAGGTAGACCATATACGGCTAGTACGAGTAAGAGTGAGAAATTTTTTAAGAATCGTATAATATTAGAACATCAAAAAGTAACAGCACCTCAGCTTTATCTCCCGAGGCAACGACGACAAATCAGAAATTTTCAATATCCCACTGGGCAAAGTCCATTATCAGTGACATTTGCTGCAAATTACAAGGGAAACAAACATAAGGAATGGGTTAAGCCACAGTTTAGTTCAATTGTTTATAAATTACAGGTAAGACTTTGTTTTGATTCTATTTAACTTTTAAATGCACGATTGTCTACAAAAAAAATGTATTATCCACAACAACACATTTTTTTACTAATTTTCGAGGGGCTGTTTAATGAATAAACAGTTTGATAAAATAAAAATAAAAAAGGGCTTTTCTGTCTTTAGTAATAAAAAAAAAAAAAAAAAAANTCTTATCAAATGAACCGTAAGATAACTGATTCAGATTTTTATTTTTTACCTTTAAAATTAGAAATTCCTTTATTATTATGTAAAAATAACCGAATACAATAAAAAAGTTGATAGCATACTTTAAAATTAACACAAAAATTCTTTGTGTAGCTGTTATTTAAGTAAAAATACAGAACATACCGTTTTTAAGTTCACTCAAGAATTTAATTGTTTGCGACACTTTTTTTGCTAATGTTCATTAAAAAAAGTTTTCCCAAGACCAGCAAATAAACTGTTAATTTAGTCAATTTACCTGTGAACTGAAATGTGTCACGAATTGCATGAAATTTTAAGAGGTTGTTATTTAAGCCCGAACATTCTCATACTTAAAATTTCTGACCTATTTAGCGTTAAAAAATTAGCGTAAGAGCTCTGCAAAGTGACATTCGAATGGTAATTGATTTTTACTGAAGTCAGATAAATATAACAGTGAAAAATCTTATGACAGTTAAATAAACGTGACGGATTTATAGCTAAGATGACTAACTTCCTTTTTGTACTTAACAAGTTGGGATAAGGGTATCTTTTATGAGCATGTTTAACAGAGAAGTTAACTGTTTATTAATATGCTGCTTGATCAGCTTAGGAGATGACAGAGTTTTCACCGCTATTATTGTATATCTATCAGACATCAAATTTCTTGACTCCATGCATGCTTGGCAGCTGTAGCTTACTATATCAGTCCAACTATTTTAGTACACAAGCTGCTTTGAGATGTTCAGCCTACTCACACTACGTCTACGCTGAATTAGTTAATATAGATTGTCAACAATTACATAAACTAGAAAATATAGTATCACGAGCAATAAAACATTCAAAGAGTATTTGTATCTTCTGTGCTTTTTTTTCCAGTTGTGATAAGTTTTAATAGTAAAAAGCTAACTTCTACATCGATACTACTGAAACTACGGTAATGGTAACAAAATTTTGTCATAAAAAATTATGGTCAAATTAATTTAAATGACTGAAAGTACATCACATAAAAAAACATAAGTATGCCATTGATTTGAGTTGCTAGTAGCACTATATTTTTTTTTAAAAGTGATTTAGTTTATATATGAGGAGTAGAAAAAAAGTTTTTATATCTCAATAACCACAATCAATTAATAACTCCATAAAAAAGTGTTGTTAAGAACTATAGTAGGATTTACCCTTACACTATATTTACTCACTTTGACGATAATGCCATTGGTTTTCTTTTACGTTTAATACAAGTTATCGTTAGTAGCTTTTTTTTAAACTGACTGAGGTAATAGGCTTATGTAGATGATGATTTTAATGCTCATGAGATATTTTTGTAGAAAAAATGTTTTTAGAAATAATTCCGAAAGTATATATATACATACATATGTGCATACATAGAAAGCAGAGTCCAAAAAAGGCATTGGGATTGTTATCCATAAAAACTATCCAACCGATTTGGAAATTGTGCGTACTGATTTTTGAGAGTTTTTATGAAGTTTTTGCATACTGCTTCTTTTGAGAAAGTTATTTACAGTAACATTGAGTACGCTTGAAGTTTAATAAAAATCTTTTCTTTTGCGATTCAGTTTAGTAGAATTCACGAAGTGGCATTGTCCACCCATAGTCTAAATCAGTGAGTATTGTAATAATAAAGTCTTTCACTGGTAGACGTCAAGAATGGAGCTGTCCGTCATGCAGCTGGGTACCATTGTATGAGATATCTAGTTTAATTCTGTTGGCCAGATACGGTTACCAACTGCTTTTCTGTATGGCACATTTTTCCTAGTTCTTATTTAATTCGAATTACCAGCTTTTTCAGATTCTTCTCTATCTTTTCTTTGCTAATTGAAGAGTTAATTTGTCATTATTGGGCTTTCCTGGTTTCAAATCGTTGAGTTTAAATCTTTCTAGCGTTTTGTCGACATATGGTGTAAAATTGTTCCCTATTTTCTATCTATTTCTACTTCAATACCTAAAAAGATGTTGAGCTCTCCAAGATGTGACATCTCAAACTAAGATTGCAGACCAATCTTGATTTCATTAAGTTTACTTACACAATTTTTACTATCAACATATTATTTACGTTTAGAATCAAAACAAGAAAATCATTTTCTTTTCTCCATGTATACAGCCAAGGCTCGCTGGTATGTGTCTTGACAACAAGTTGGCAAGTCTCCAGATTATATTTATTTATAGTGATATTTCTGACCTAACAAGGGCTAACCCAGATACTGAAGCATTAGTGTCTTGTAGGTCGTACTTGTTCTTATATTTAAAGGCAAGAATCATTACCCTCTCTTAAAATTCCGTATTTCCGTCTTTATCTATCTTTCTCTTTATGACCCAGCTAGAGTTGATGACGTTTGGCTTGCCTCCTCCAGCATTTATGGTTGGCCTATCTACAAATTTTCGTACTTAATTTTTACTCACTGATTCTAGTTGTTCGTCAATTGCTTCAAGTCATTGATCCTGATCTGGAACTGCAACAGCTTTCTTGTAGTTTGCGGAATCCTTGTTCCATACAGCAATCAGGGTGTGTGTCATTTCATCTCCAACCTCTGCGATAAAACAATTAACATTGCCCTTAGACTAAAGCAGCTAATTCTACTTGTGTGTTTTAGTGACTTCTGTAAAACTCGTATTATTAATAGTAGCAGGTTGTCTGAAGTATTTTTTTAACAAGCTCTCCATTTTTCTTGCGTCATCCTCGCTTTCTGTTGACTCCTTGTTCTCCCTTCATTTTTAATAGCTCTTTAGGACTATCTTTATGAAATTTAAAAAACCATTTTTATTGTTTGATGTCTCTATTGTGATTATTCCAGTTTGATATCTTATCTTTTTTTCAGATATCTCTGGATACAAATCTTTCATAAAATCTCACATCCAAACTCTCATTAGGTTTACAGTTTTCTGGTCTTAGCAAAATATATCTAGTGATTGTATAACCAACCATTGTTATTTGTATATCTTGTACTTTAAATTTAGATTCAATCTTCTTTTGTATCTTGATGAATACCATACAACCAAATCTTCGGATTTATGTCACATCTATCTAAAAATTGGATGCTTTTTAAAAGGAGCTACCATTCCGTTAGACCGGTAGGGTATGCGATTGTTGTGTTGGTGTAAACTGCAGTGTTCAAAGCTTAATTCCTTATGTCGGCCATTAAACTGGAGTCATACATATAGGCTGACAGTTTGTCTTGCAATGTTCCATTAAGTTGCTCTAAGACACTATTGTTTTTAGGAGTATCTAGAAGGGTTAGTTAAAGCTCAGCCATCAATCTCTAAATAATTTCTACCGTTTGATCTCCTGTAAACTCTGTGTCTCAATTAGTTTGCAGATAGCATATCTTAGCATCAAAGCCCAGGAGGTCACTTGTCATGAAATTTGTATCTTCTAGAATGAGTGGCTGAGCTGATCAGTCCCATTATGTCAGCGGGAATTTTCTCAAATGACCTTATTACAGAGTCCATACAGTCACAAGTTTTTCACAATTATTAGTTTTCCTATCTTCAATAGTTTTCTCAAAATTATTTTTTTGAGTAGTATTCAAGCAAGCACTATCAGATACATTGTTTATGATTTTAGGTCAGTTCCTACTATCATTGGTGTTGATTTATAAAACCTTTTCAGTCTTTGCTGTGAAGAAATTTTTAATCATCAAACAATCTATGAATTCTTTAAACTTTTGTTGTAACTTGTACTCTGGCTATCTTGTACTGGTTCCTTTATCTAATGAGGAATTTTATAGACGCCAGAGATAAGAGTCTCGTTAGAGCACTGGTCAAACATATCTCGCTTTGTGTTATTTAAGTACATACTTATACTTCTCTCCGCAAACTGGTGAAGCAACAGCAAGTTTTCAGCAAGTGCCTTAGCACGTATTACTCCATCTAGAACAATTTTGTTTTTTCTTTCTTTGCTCTCCAGTTCATGGAAAAATCTTCATTTTTGCATTTAATTAATTTTCTTTAACAACCTTTAAAATTCTTTAAAAACAGTCTGGATTGAACAAATTGCTCTGTAGTACCTGAGTCTGCTACAAAATTAATTTTATTATTGTTACAGTCTTTTACAAGATTTTCCTCTGTATTCCTAAAGAGCAGAGTTAGGGTTTAACAAGAAGCAAGTCAGTATATGCATTAGATCTATGTGATTCTATGTTACTTTTATCTTCTTGACTCTGTTTCTTGTTATCAATCTTGGCTTTCTTGTTGTTACTTTTGGCATGCTGCCTATGACTTTTTTATTTATTATTCTGTCCGTTGTTATTATTATTATTTTCATTACTATTACTAGCATTACCGCAACTGTTACATTTAAAGTTTCAATTGTCAATCTTATTAAAATTACCTTTTTTTCATACCCCGGCCGAAAGTACGTGCATCCCTGCTCGATTTTACTCAAGGAAAGGTAGCTTTTGTGGCCGGCCAGAAAAGAGGGCGCTTCTGATTGGCTGCGTGCCTTTTTCTGCTGCTATCAGCAGCGCACGCGCAGTGGAAGCAAGAACAGCAAGAACCGAGCCGACGAGCCCAACTCGTGCACGCAATATATATAGTGAATAGACTGCTCTTGCCTCGATGCTGTAATCATCAACAGTGACCTGAGACTACGGGTAAAGCTGAATCGCTGTGTCTCGTTATGTCCTGGACATTGGTTTCATCATCTGGTCTTTGTGCAGTGCCATCGTATTTAATTTCTGATTTCTTACAAAATGTTAGTGAAAAAAGTCGTCGATGCACGCCCCCCCGACCAGCACCGCCTCGGCTTCGCCTCGGCCTGCAAAAGCCGGGGCGGGCATCGACTA